ATTTCATCTTAATTTTTACGAAATCTTAACGCTGGACGCTTTGCCGTCAAAGTCTTACCATGTAGCTGGAAAGCTTTTACAGTACTGACGCAAAATTTCTTCTGCATAAAATAGCTTTAGTTTTGGATCACATTTGATTTTTTTTTTTAATAAATAAATATTTAATAATATTTATTAAATTTTTATAATATATATTTTATTTTACTTTTTTATATAAATTTTTTTTTTTTTAATACAAAATTTAAAATCTTTTTTATTTTTATGTGTTATTATATAATATAATATATATTATATAAATACTATATTTATAAATTATATTTTTAAATAATATTACTTCATGTATTTATAATAAATATAATATTTTATTGTATAAAATAAAAATCTTAATATAAATATAAAAATAATATATATAAAAAGATGACTTTAATGAATTTCAAGATGTAAATATTAAACATTTGAAATAATTTCAATTGTAAATCCATTTATCATAAATATGTCATTTCTTTTTTAATAATTTTCTTTTACAATAATTTCATAATAATTTTAAATGGTCATCTCGATAAAATACGATTTATTTCTCCTTCGTATAATCGATCTTTGAAAATAATCATTGTTACAACAATTGATCAAAATTTCTGCCAATTATGAATACAAATTATAATGGAAAATAATTATCAGAAATATTAATTTCAATAAAAGAACAAAAGATGTATATATATATCTCGATTAATGATTTTTAATAAAATTACCAATACAATCAAGTAAAAAGATTTAACCGATAGATCGAGTTTATTTACACGGTTAACACGAAACAACGTTTATCGGCACTTAAAGTAGATAAAATGAATGCAAACGTCGAATGGTTGTCGAATCGAAGTCAAATAATTCATTGTCAGGGTGAAGAATCGACAATTCGAAAGGTCCATTAACGTTTTAAAGAGATTTCGTGTATATCTCTCTTTCTTTTCTTTCTTTTTTTCTTCTCATTTTCTCTCATTATCTCTCGTTCACTCTTCTTTTTAAAACGATTAGATTGGCTACATATACATATATATATATAGCTTATCGGTGGATGCATTAATTAACCGATCTTCAGGAAAAAAAAATTCAACTTGGTGTTCGGTCCTCGACAAGTTTTATCGCGAAAATAATAATTTACGAGCTTGAAAAAGATCCTTTCTCCCTTTCCCTTCTTAAACAAAAAAAAAAAAAAGAAAAAGGGAAGGAAACAGGGGGGACGAGTTAGCAGTGCGAGAATTACGGAAGGAAAATATGCAGTAGGTAGATATAAGTATAATATTCCATGCAGAGCTTTTGCTGCTACCTTTCTCGACGTTCGTGTATCGTATCTGATAAATGCCGTACTATCACGATATCTTTAAAGTTCACGTATTAAATAGAATAGTATTTAAAAAAAAAAAAGTAATCTTTATTATTATATAAATATAATATAACCGTTTTATATTATATTATAATTTATATAATTATAGTTATAGGATAATAAGTAATATATTATTTATACTATATAATATAATATATATATATAATTTTATTTTATATATTATTTTATTGTTATTAATATAGTAATAATATTATATTTATTATTATTTAAATATATAATATTTATTATTACATATATATTATTATATAATATTATATTATATATAATATTATACTATAATATTACTGTAAATATAATTATAATTATACCACAAATACTTCAATCCTATTAATGTTCCCATTGCTAAACAAAATCCCACCCCACATTTCGTCTCGACAGAGTTTGCGTATTTTTATTAGAACCATTATTTTTATATGAAAGAAATTTAAGGGGGTGGTAAGATACGTGAGTAGGTCTCATAAAGATCATATGGGTTGAAAACTATATCAAGAGAATTGGTTCGATCATTATTCATTTCGTTAAATGAACTCGCGTAATTTTTCTTTCATTTCGTCGTTGAATTCGTTGAGAGAAGAGGAGGAGGTTTCACTTGCAGCTGGCGAAGAAAACGATGGTGGTTTCAGTTCGATGGTGTCTCGTGCACAAAATACAGAAAAAAAACGAGAGGATGGTCCAGTCTCTCTCTTTCTCTCTCTCATACGTGAGAAGAAATCACGTTCCTTTTCCTTTCCGAAGAAGTCGCGCACGTTCTCGCGGTTGTATCTCCATGGAAGTCCTAGTATGATGATGGGGAACGTGTACGGGGGAAAAAAAAGAAGAGAAAATAAGAATAAAAATAAGAAATGAAGAGGAAAAAGAGAAAAGAAAAAGAATCTCAAGGAATGAAGGAAGAGGAGGGGATGAGGGAAAGGAAAGAAAAGAAACGAAGCAGAAAAAAGAAATATGAAAAAATATAAAAAAATAATAATAATAATAAAAAAAGAAGAAGAAGAAGAAAGAGGAAGAAAAAAAAAGAGAGGAAATGAGAGAGAGAGAGAGAGAGAGAAAAAGTGAATCTCCACGTGCTCCACGGGATTCTTCGAGTGTGCGAACGCACTGCGAGTGGTCCCCGATTCGCGTATATAAAGGATTTCCGACTCTTTGTGGCGAGTGGCAACACACAACGGTGGTGTTTAGGCGTATTGGAAATACCATTGGTCGAGCGTTTAGAAATACTCGTACACACATTGTATAATAATGTATCGCATATGGGGCGCATCTTGTAAAACTCTGCGGGCGTTCTTAACATCCATCCCATAACCCCCACCTCTTTCCTCTTTCCAATAATACCCCCGTGACCCTTACGTGAATATTCTTGCGTCTACGAATTTTATATGTATGTGTTAGTATTATTATTATTATTATTATTATTATTATTATTTTGCGTATAGATGTATGTTGTACGGTTTTTCGTTAGACGATGAAACAGGATGAAAACGTGAATGAGCTTATTCTCGGTTGCTCCGATTCATTCATTCATTCATTCATTCGTTCGTTCGTTCGTTCGTTCATTCATTCATTCATCTGCAACCCTGGTAGAAAGAGAAAGTGAGACCTCAAACGTAGGCAAGTCGCCGTCCTACTTGTGTATTGTCCTACGTTAAAGAAGACGGAAATTTTTCGGTGGTTTCGTCAAAAGCAGAAACCAAGTCTTCTACGAATGAGTCAAAATCGTTTTTACGGTTTGTTTGCTTTATTCTTATAAACGCGTGGACTTTTTTTTCTCCTTAGGAAAATGTTTTCTTCTTTTTATCTTGTTTCCCTTTTTATTTTTTACTCTCTCAGTTTTTTTCTTCTTCTTCTTCCTCTTCTTCTTTCTATGTTCGTGTTCCTTCTTTGAAAATTATAGATGAAGATCGAAGGAAAAATCTAACGAATCGGATGAAGGCAAAGTTCATGCGAACAAAAAAAAAAAAAAGAAAAAACTAGGGAATTTAGCATGGATTTATCATCACAAGGGTAGACTACATACGTGGGCACCGGTACAAAGGGTATTTCAATCGATCAAGGGCCAAGTACACGCTTGGGTAGATCCGATTAAACGAAAATACTTCGGCTTTACATGTACTCAAAGCAGAAGAGAATCCAACAGAGAAATAGAGAGAGAGAGAGAGAGAGAGGGAAGTCTTTGGGGTAGTCAATAGGATCATGAAATGACAACAATATGTTCGAAGTCAAGAGACCCTCTAGAAAGGAGAGGACCTGTTGGGACTAATCCGTTAGATTAGGTTTTGGGGTTTACGCATGAAATGTTCCATTCATAACTTACCAAATCAGAAATCTAATAACACTTATGTATCCGACAAATATCTATTTAGTAAAAAAAAAATATTAAATGCATATTAAAGGTGAATTTAGAAAAAAAATACCCTATAAAACTCATAGAAATTTTATAGTTTACTTTTTGAAAAGAAAAAAAGAAGTATCAATATAAATCATCTGTTGAAAAAACAAAAAAAGGTTTTCATCATTTTCCAATGACATATGACAAGTATTAATTCTTCTTCCCTCTTTGTTATTTACCGATTATTCGACATTAAACTAATCCGAAAGAAGTTCTTATGTGGCTTGTTTGTGAAATGCGAAAAACAGGATTTCGAAAAGAGTTGAAAGAAAAGGGGGAAAAAAAGAACTTAGAAGATAGTCACACACGTATTTATGGATGTTGCTGATGTTGCTAGTGATGGTGGTGCTGTTGGTGGTATTGGTGGTGGTTATGGAAGAGGTGGTTATGGTGGCGGGGTCCGGATCGGCGTTATAAGATCGGACACGTCTCTATCTAGGTTCTTGGGGCAACATACGGCCAAGTTGGGGACGCCAATATATTTGGAAGAAGCGGTGGGTGGGTGAGGAGGTGGGCAGGAGGGAAAGAACGACGAGATAGGTGGTTAGGTAGGTAGCCGTGGTGGATGTTGAGCGAGATAGTCGACCGGCTTCGGTAATGGAGACTGCAGGGTGCCGCTAATGCAGTAGCGATGTCATGGTGCCCGGTGCATTGGGTATATTCCTTTTCCCTTCCGCCGTTTTACTTTCGCGGCTACTAACATAAGCCGTGTCCTTTCTACGCCTTCGCGATATCGACGAGAGTTGTACGCATCTCTCTCTCTCTCTCTTTCTTTCATTCTTTCTTTCTTTCATTCTCTTCTTTTTCTTTTTATTCTTTTTCATATTACTTTTTTTTTCTCCTTTTTTATTTCTGTCTTTCTTCTTCTTCTTCTACCTTTCGCTACATCGTACCTTGTTTTACCTTGCCAGCAACGATCTCTGAAGGTAGTCTGATATCTCAGCAATATCGAAACCTTTGAAAAAGAGGAAAGAGAGTTTAACACTGGAATGACTTCGTTCGTTTAAGCAAAACTACTTGATATTATTCTTTCTTTCTCTCTATCAACACTTTCTACTTCTACTTCTTCTTCTTCTTCTTCTTTTCTTTAATGAATTTTATTATTATTACTATTGAATTAACAAACACATAGATATTTAAAATGTAAATCGATCATAGAATAATTTTTGAAATAAATAAAAACAAAAACAAACTTTATCAAATGTTTGTTCGCAGGATGTTTGGAAGTTTGAAGAGGTGCGCGCGATGCCAAGCTGCGATTCTATCCTCGGAATTGGTGATGCGAGCACGAGACTTGGTGTTCCACGTGCGTTGCTTTTCGTGCGCAGTGTGCACGGTCCTATTGACAAAGGGCGATCACTTTGGCATGAGGGACGGCACGGTATTGTGTCGATTGCATTACGAGATAGGTGCTGAATTACATCCAGCACAAAGTCCACCGGTTCCTGTTTATCCACCTGGTCCACATTATCCTGGCCAATTTCCATCACCCGAATTTCTTCATCATCATCACCATCATCATCATCATCATACGACGGTGGCCGCGGCTGCGGCAGCGGCAGCTGCGGTCGCTGGTCATGGTCCACCTCATCCTCACTCGATGCACCCTCAACATCCTCATAGTCACATCAGTCCGGTACCACTTCAACCCTCAACACCGTCCGTCCCTGATGCTGGTTCACCTCCAAAAGTACCATACTTCAACGGTGCAGCAGCAGCAACAGCAGTCGTACCACCACCCAGGCAGAAGGGACGACCAAGGAAAAGGAAGCCTAAGGATCTCGAGGCTATGACCGCCAGTCTCGGTGAGCTCTTATTCATCTACTCTACTATTTCTATCTCATCGAGCTCCTCCATGAAACATTGTAAGATTATCATTTTCGTTTGTTGTGCTTTATTTATATTTCCATTACTTACTTGTTAATCCTTATTCCTTTCGAATGATCCACCATTACTTTTAAAACCGGAAACTCGTGCCTAGATCAAGATCCTTATACACAAACCAAAATTCCATTCGATTCTTACAATCCGTATACCTAAGTAGTAAGTATGTGAGAACTGAGAAACAGGATTTCGATACACGTTTCTCTCTCTCTCTCTCTCTCTCTCTTTCTTTCTTTCTTTCTTATTCAATGTAGTAGGGTATCTACTCGCGTAGATCGAGAAAATCGCAGAGAAACGAATGTTTCTTTGCTCGAAGACAGCTAACGAAACCCCTTAGGAGTAAGAGAGAAACAAATAAACGTGGAAAGAAGAAAGTCCCTTGTTCCGGATACACGAATACGATTCTCCTTTCCCCGTGATTTATGGGACGCGTGGGCGTCCGCCGTTTGCCACCGAACCCTGATAAAATTTGTCGCTGCTACATAAATTCACGAATCCTATTCCCGAAGGAAGCGCGCGTTACTTGGTGGACAGAGTACGCGTGGGCAGAGTTCAGCGAGACACGAGCTCCTTCTCCTCCTCCTCCTCCTCCTCCTCCTCGAGAACTTAATTTCGATTGTTGACCAACCGTGGGAACAACAACTACGACCGAGTCTCTTCTTCTTCTTCTGCTTGTAATCTCTTTTTCTTTTTACCTTTCATTCTCTCTCTCTCTCTTTCTCTCATTCTTTCCTACGTGAGAATACTCTCCTATACTCCTTCTACTATCCATTCTTTTTATTTTCATTGGAGGAGGTCGACCAATGTCGCCTTGTTTCTAGTTCCCTTCTCTACCTCTTCCACCTCCTTCTTTTCTACCTTCCTGTTCCTCAAGTTCCTCTAGAACTAGCCAACTCGTCGTCTATGGAATAGAATTCTCTTACATTTCTTCGTCAATTTTATTTCTTGCAAATCCCATTTTGGCAGGGGTTGCTGATTATTCTCTTTTCATTTCTCAAACTTCATTCATCGTTTATTTTTTATTATTTTCCTAGTATTATTTAATACTTTGTCGACCACACGTTTGGTAGGACTGATTTACATCATTTCGCTTATTGCTGTCGGCTATTACTAATCTTGTCGTAAATTCTTAATTGTATCCGTCTATTTTTTGTTTAGTATGTATTCTGTTTAATACAACAAATTGGTATTTAATTTTTAAATAAAACCACCCACCAGGCGCTTATCCATCCGTAATTTCTGCATGGCACCAAAGTAGTACCATTTTGTATTCAGATCTCTTCTAATATTATCCTCCCATCTACGTCTTGGTCTACCCAACAACCTTTTCCCATTGAATATACCAATCAGTATTTTATGCACTTGTTCATTCATAGTTCATATCGTTCATAATTTTAATCAATTAATCGCAATGTTATCTCGTTGTCATTCAGATAGATATTTTAAGTATGTAAGTTAGGTTCTATCACATCGTTTTAATTGACGCTTATGGTACCTATATAGATATATATATATGTATATATGTACATATACCTAAGTTCCATTGGACGTCGAAGATTGTAACTCGTGGCAAGAAGGTATATCGGATCTCGTAGTTGTTGGATAGGATCGATCAGTCGATGGAGTTATCCCAACATCGACGATCATTCAATGTTTCCCAGAGCGAGAAAGATATGTATATATATATATATATATATATATATATATATATATATGTATATACATATATACATAAAGAGAGAGAGAGAGAGAGAGAGAAAGCGATAGGACGAACCGTCGGAAGTGTACGTCGTTTGCCGTTGTTGGCCGCCACGAGTGAGTCTATAGCGCTGTTTGATGTGTATCACGGCTCATTAGCTCCTTGAGTGCAAACAAGAAGGGTGATAGCGTATGCGAAAGGCCGCTGGATACACGGCCAATTACAACTCTATGCAGCAAATAGTTCGCAGACACGATACCTCGTTTCAACGTGAATGTATACCTACCTGTGCCTTGCTTACTTGCTTGCTTGCTTGCTTGCTTGTATACTAGCTAGCTAGCTAGTTACCTATCTACTACTATCCAACTATAGTCCAATCTCCATTTTACCTTTAAACCTTCCCTTACCCTTCTTCGTCCTTAACTTTGTCTTGTTTCATCATATTTTTACAAACTTTTTAACTTTGGAAGATGTATAATACATAATCTCTTAGCAATGAAAGAAAAGCTAAACAAAACACACCTAATTTAACTTTGGAAAATGTAATATTTATATATTACATATTATTATTATATTACTATTATAATAAATTATATTACTTAATATTTATATATTATATATTTATTATTATTATATTACAATATTTATATATTGTATATTATTATTATTATAATACAATATTTATATATAATACATTTTCCAAAGTTAATTTTACATAAATATAAATATAAATAATACGTAATCTCTTTGCAATAAAATAAAATAACACATTGGCTGTCCTAATCTCCATTTTACTTTTAGATCTTCTCTTACCCTTCTTCGCCCTTAACTCTTACTTGTTTCATCATATTTTTACAATCTTTTTAACTTTGGTAAATGTATAATACATAATCCCTCTAGTAGTAAAAAAAAAAGAAAGTTGGTTATCCTAAGTGGAAATCTAATCAAAGTGATTCGCAATTTACGTTTTACAGACTTGAACGCCGACTACATAGACATGCCCTTCGGTAGAGGCGGTCCTGGGACTCCAGGCATACCTGGCTCCAATAGTAGAACAAAACGAATGAGGACAAGTTTCAAGCATCACCAGTTAAGGACGATGAAGAGTTACTTCGCGATCAATCACAATCCCGACGCGAAGGATCTCAAGCAGCTTTCCCAGAAAACTGGCTTGCCAAAAAGGGTACTGCAGGTAAGCTTTAATACCCTTTTCTATCTCTCTATCTCTCTCTCTCTCTCTCTCTCTCTCTCTCTCTCTCTCTCTCTCTCTCTNTCTCTCTCTCTCTCTCTCTCTCTCTCTCTCTCTCTCTCTCTCTCTCTCATTCTATTTCTATTTCTCTGTTTCTTTGATAATAATAATGATGATGATGATGATGATGATGATGATTCCGCGAGCTATCGTTATTCGAACGAACAAACTCACGTACTCACTCACTCATAGAAAAATAGAAAGAGGAATAGATAGGAGAAATAGAAGATAAATCGAGATAATCTTTTCTTCTTCTTTCTCACGTCCCTTTACGGTATTTGTACTTTTATCTTTTCTTTTTTTTTTTTTTTTTGTAAACATTCTTTAATACAGCTACTCGTCTTTCTTACGTAACAAATGGTGGACTCTTTGTTAGATATTTATTTAAGGTAACCAACTGTTACCGATTGAATATTTTCTAAACTGTTCTTTTCTTTTTTATTTTTCAAATCTCATCTCGAAATAACAATTTCGTAATTTTGTGGAGAGAAAGAAAAACAGACGGGGACAGTTTTCGAATGGTTTATTAAAAAGAGAGAAACTATTTCTTCCCGATGACTCGTCGTTATCAATCATTTTCGAAACTTTCATGAAACATGTTTCTTCCCTTTTCTCCGATTTATTATAGAATATTAAATTAAAATATTATTTTTGTAGAATATTTATCCGACAATATGTCGAATCTCGTTCATCGTTTTTATATCGATCAATGATAATTTTGTTTAACGTACAATGATAGTTTTGTTTTAATCATATTTACAATTTATCATTTCATGATGTTGATTCTCATCATATTCAAACGAGAACTTTTAACTTGTGAATACCTTTTTTTATCTTCTATTTTAGTTTATCGTAATACAATTATATTTATATAATAGTTTTGCTATAGAAACTTTAATTTCCGAGATAAAATATTAAACACAAATTCTGAATCTCTCAAAATTGCAATGTTTTTTTATTTTCTTATAAATCTATTTATGAACATCTTATAATCAAGAAAATATATTTTTTTTTCGCGCGTGAATCTTGTCTCGAAAAAAATGACACGTTCAAATTCATATCTACGTATTTCGTCCTAAATTTCATCCAACCCCGACATCTCTCTCTCTCTCTCTCTCTCTCTCTTCCTTATCGAAATTTCAAAATAGAACGTTCTATTTATGAGTAAACGAAAAATCAACGGTTTTAAAAATAAACGGAAGGAAGTGGTCGAAATCTTTGTTCGACTTCCTATCTATCTGTTCAGATAATACCAATCATGTATATATATGTGTATATATATATATAACTATCCTGCCGATATTCGGATACGTTCTTCCACGTAGTCAAATATTTTTGTCAACAAAAAAAATATTTTTAACCTCTTAGGTACGGTTATTTATTTTGCGCAGTGCTGTTTCCTTTTTATGGCAAGGTTCAATAAAAATTATATGTAAATGGGTACAATTACAATACGTGACGAACAATGATGCTACATTGAAATGAAGTTTTTTGATGATTAAATTATAATTTTTCTTAAAAAAAAAAAAAAAAAAAACATGATACACATACTTTAATTAGGAAAATTTACTTTAATAATTAAATAATACATTTAGTAAACAAATGGTGAGTTAGTGAGAGTTAATAAAGTTAGCCACTGTAGTGATGCATCGTTCAGAGAGATAGAAACATTCGTGAAAGCCACTATAATGGTGCGTCGTATCAAAGAGGTTAAATATATATATACTATCAAACATTTTACTTATCAAAGTTGGTAGAGAGGAGGAAGAGGAAAAGGTCGGAAATTTTCGAATGAAATCGAATAAAAATCAATTCGAAAATTGAAATACAAACTATAAACGATGATTAATAATAACCAAGCTGATACGCAAAAGTAGGAGGAAGATAAAACGAACTGGTGGATGAGTTGAGGTAGGAGGGTACTGGTGGAGAGGTAGGTGAGGGGTGTAAAGCTCGTCGCAAGTCGAGTCGCGTCCGACAGAGAAACTTAGCCCGGTCGTAGATTTTGAGTTGCGCCGGATTGACGGGGTTGGGCCATAATTACGAGAGAGAAAGGCCACGGGAACTCGTCGACGGAAATATCACGCGGTTCTTTTTAACTTTCAACGTCAGCCGGTCGGTGTGCCGCACTAATTGGGAGGAGTGCGCTCGAGTGAGGAGCACGCGCGCGCACGTTCGCGTGAATATTTTTATAGGGCGGCTACCTTATAATACTCGTTTCAAAAAAGGGCGAACATGAACACGACGAACCACCGACTATCCATCTTCTCGCTCGGTTTTCACTCTTTCTTTTTCTTTTTCTTGCTTACTCACTCACTCACTCACTCACTCACTTACTCAGTTACTCTCTCTCTCTCTCTCTCTCTCTCTCTTTCTTTCTCTTTCACTCTCTTATTTTTTTTTTATGTACACTTACGTTCAACGCCAGACGCAAGATATATTTTTGTAGTTACGCATTGTCGCATGGATATTTGGTAATCTATACTTAGAAAACCCACGAGGAGTGAATTTATTAAGCGTATCGGGTCTCATTCTCATTCTCTCTCATTCTTATTCTCTAACTCTCACACTATCACTCTCTTTCTCACAAACTCTTCTCTTTTGGAATTTATAGGGCGAGCGTTTGATTAACGCTTTCACGTTTCAATTCTTTTTTTTTTTTCTATTTCTTTTAATAAAGAACATAAAAGAAAATAAAAATAAAAAGGAAAGAGAGCTTTTTTTCCACTCGTAGGAGGAGGGAAAGCATCTCGATATAGTCGTGAAAGGCGTGCGCTATTCAAAAGGGCGAAGAAGAGTTTCGAAAAGAAAAAGAGAAAGAAAGAGAGAGAAAGAACAGTGCGCAAAGGTGTCCTTGAGGCTACGAGAATGGTAGGAAAAGAAGAAAGAGAGAGAGAGAGAAAATACGAAGTACCAACGATGTTAAAGAGAAAAAGAAAAAGAGAAACAGAGAGAAAGAGGAAGAAAGAAAGAAAGACTGAGTCAAGGGTGGACGGGACATGGAAAAAGGAAAAGGTAGTGAAAGAGAAAGACGAGGAGTAGAAGGAGGAGGAGGTGGAGGAGGAGGAGGAGGTGGCTATTGTATTCGACGCAGCATAGGGTTCTTGGTCGCCATCTTGCTTGATATTGATCGCGAAACGCACGAATACTCGCTCGCGGCTGCGTTTGCTATATACACTCTGTATATACATATAAAGAAGGGGGAATGGGTTGGGGTGGGGTGGGGTGAGGTTCAGAGTGGGTAGAAGAGGAGGAAACGTAGAAACGGGGTTTCCCGTAGACGCGAGTTGAGTGCGCGAGCGTGCGAGCAGCCACATAGGGCAGTCCGTCCTTCGAAGGCAAAGGGGAAGGGGGAGGAAGAGAGAAAAAGAGAAAGAGAAAGAGAAAAAGAGAAAGAGAGATCCTCCTCGTTTCTCCTCCGCTTCTCGTCGACGTCGCAGCCAGGCTCCGGTGGGTCTTTCGGTTCGCGGGGGAGGAGACTATCTTGAAAATGGCGACGTGCATCGAGAGCACACGGCCCGTCTTTTATCTATCGGTAGAATAAAAAGGGGTAACAGGGGGTGGAAGGAAAGAGACGATGAAAGAGAGGATTTCTCAACCACCTACCCTTCTCCTTTCTTCTAAACCTTCTTCCTACACTACTATTCTATTTCTTTTCGATATACATATATATCATAGTATTGTGTGTATCGACTATGTATTATACATGTAGTTATTATTCTTCACGTAACTTTTTTGTGTGTTAGAGAAAAAGGAAATTCTTTTTTTTTTCTTACCCTCTCTAACTTCCCACTTCCACTTCAATGATATCCTCATCTTCTTTCATCTCGAGTTCCTACTTGTCCAATTGAATGTTTCTCTTTCTTTCTTTCTTTATTTCTCTTGATAGTAATATATATATGTATGTATCTATGTATACATATTTGATATCAATGTACTCAAGGATAGGTCTTAGGTAGAAGATGAAGAAGTATCTTAAAAGACATCTTCATATTTAACGCTCGTATTACTCGACTCAACTCGACTTGACTCGACCTACTTCATAAAACCCCTTCTGGAATATCGTACCTCATATAAAGTTCGAAGAGAGAAATCTTCTAAGTAAAGCGAGAGAATCTCTGACGCGACTTTGCGCGGAAATAGAATATCTCTCTCTCTCTCTCTTTCTCTCTGTCTCTCTTTTCACGACTTTGACGAATTTCGTTAGGAACGGAGACACAATGGTGTCTTTGACGGGCCCGCGAATCTACTACCCTTCTCCTTCCCCTTACCACAGTACCACTCCATCTCGTTATGAACCGAATCGTTTGTCCGGTCATCCTCTCACCGACATAAATCATGTTCCGCGAATCTTTTTAATTATTTTTCATTCTTTTTTTCTTTTTTCTTATACTTTTATCATACTCACGCCTTTTTATCCCACTTCCCACGAAACGACAGCAATTGACGATGAATATTTTATTTGCTTTGGATTATAAATAATGTTTAAATTCTTTTTTTCTTAAATTACAATATATATATATATATTTTTTTAATCTTTTATAGAAAATAAAATAAAATTAAGTTAAGTCAAATTAAATTAAATTAACCCTTATCCGTCGTAACTCACGTTGAAAGTGACTTACAAATAAAAAAATATTTTATTCAATAATTAATTAATAATTTCATATATTTGTAGTATTCCCTTAAAAAGAAAGATAAATAATTTCTAATAAATAATAAAATTATTCTTATAATAATAAACTAATTTTGTTGCATATTTATGAAAATCACTTATAACTTATTATAAGTAAAAATCGTCGATATAAAAACTTGACACCACCCGATATGGGTTAAATGAATTCAAATTAAAATAAATTTTTTAAATAATGCGACTAAACGTTTGTCTTTTTGATTTGTTTGTTTCCCCTCACCCCTATAGGTCTGGTTCCAAAATGCCCGTGCCAAATGGCGACGTATGGTGTTGAAACAAGAAGGAAAATCGGACAAGTGCGATAGCGTCGTTGACGGAGGTTCATTGGGTGATCTAGAACTTTATGGCAACAGCGGTGGAAGTGGTGGTCCACCTATGAGTCCTCCCTTCATGCTTGGTGGTCCACATAGTCCAGCATCTTTGGCATCCTTGGATTGCGCGTGATCATCAACAACAACAACAACCATTTGAATTTTCACGAGAAGACAATTCGTAAATGAATT